TGCAAGAAACTGGAAGTCATGGTAAGAATAAGGAATAGAATGAGAAGTATTAAGGCAGGGAGAGAGGAAAGACAAAAATATGGTCATTACATAAAGTAACTCTGGAACTCTTGAACATGAGAATGGAACTCTAGTAGGGATGGCAAGATCCAAGGTGTTACCATTCCTCCAAGTAGCTAAGGTGGAGTGGAGAAGGAGGTCTCAAGAGAGAAGAAGACTAAGGAAGGGGGAAGTTAGGCTATTTGAGGGAACATTAACATTCTGTTATACCTAAGTACTTTCTTTTTTTTTTCCCTTAGTGATAAACTTTTATTACTGAAAGTTTCACAAAGAGAAAAAAAGAAAAATAAATGTCCATGAGTTGATGTCTGTCTCATTCATAATAAAAAATGAATGAAAAATTTTTGGATGTGAAGTTTTTGAGATAAGAAAGACATTAACACAGTAACTATCTGAAAAAAGTTTCGAGATTTACTAATAAGCAGAGAAATTCCAATTAAAATAACTCTGAGCTACCGTTGTACAACCATTAAGAAATTATTGTTCGGTTTCAGTCATGTCTCTTTGTTATCCCATTTGAGGTTTTATTTATTTTTTTTCTTTTTTTTGGTCACACAGCTAATAAGTGCTATGTGTCTGAGAACGGATCTGAACTCAGGTCCTCCTGAATCTAGGGCCAGTGCTGTATTCACTGCGCCACCTAGCTGCCCCCATTTGAGGTTTTCTTGGCAAAAATACTGGAGTGGTTTGCCATTTCCTTCTCCAGCTCATTTCACAAATGAGGAAACTGAGGCAAACAGGGTGAAGTGACTTGTCCAGAGTCACAAATCTAGTAAATGTCTGAGGTCAGATTAAATTCAGGAAGATGAGTCTTACTGACTCCAGGCCAGGCACTATCCACTGCGCCACCTAGCTGCATTAAGTTAGAAAGATGCTAAAAGATGAATTTTTTTTTTCACTTCTCTAAAAAATAAATTTATTTTTCAACATACATGCCTTTAAAAACTTTAAGTTCTGGTTTCTCTCCAGTCTCTCTTCCTCCCATTGAGAAGGAGGCAATATGATCTCAATCATCAGTATGAAATCATGAAAAACACACTCCATATTGGACCACATTGCAAGAAAAAAATAAAGTGAAAAAAGTCTTCTTGAATCTGCACTCAGAGACCATCAGTTCATTACATTTTTCATCATGAGTCTGTCGGTACTGCCCAGTATCGCCAGGTCTTTCATAACTAAGCCCTTTCCTTCATCCTCCTCATAGCTGGCCTTTAATTAGCTCACTTGAACAAATATTTTAAAAGTCGAGTGAACTGATTTTTCACGCATTCAGTGATAAGCAAAGTCCATTTCTTCCTGCTCTAAGTTCAAGTGTGTTATTATTCACTGTGGTAAGTTAATGTTTCCACACCAGCCCTGATATTTTTAGCACTCCTGTTTTGATAAACTCATGATTACCTCAAAAGAGAATAAATCAAAGTCCACTTTTTGCCACAGGAAACCAGCTCAGACTCGGTGTTTTGAAACATACTATGGGAGAATAATAAAGAAGCTCAAGACCGTTCAGCTCAGAGGACCGGGCATACAATCTAGTGGAAAAAATGCCACAGCAGAGTGTCCCTTTGCTCTGTCCAGTGGTTATCTCAGTGTTAACTGGAAAAATGTCACAACAGCCACCACACTCTAATAACAGGGTGGCTACTTCAGGAGAGCCCCAAGAACACTTGAGGTCTCTAAGGGAAAACAATCCCTGTACACCTTTGCAGGATGAAAGACCACAAACGGGGGTGAGTGGGAGTGCAGGCCACCCCTTAGCTAGGGAGGGTCTTGGCCAGGCAAAGGCCCAGCTCTGAAGTCCAGCCCTGCAACTCACTGGCTGTGGGGGACCCTGGACAAACTGCTGAACCTCTTTACATGTGAGCCTCCTGGTCAGTAAACTCCAGGGCTCCCTGTCACCTCCAGGACCAAATATAAAATCCTCTGTTTCCCACCTTTCCCGTCTTAATCTACACATTCTCTGAGTCACTGACCCTGGCCTCCTGGCTGTTCCTCACAAAAAAACAGTCCTGCCTCCGGGCCCCCACAGAAGGTTCTCCTCCTCCATCCCTGCCTCTGGCCTTCCCTGGGTCCCTCCAAGGCTCAGCTAAAGATTGCTCTTCTGCAGAAAGCTTCTCCTGATCCCCTTAATGCCACTGCCTCCCTCTGAAATGACCCCCAATTTAACCTGAATTGATCGCACATTGTCTTCCCCCAATGGAACATGAACCCCGAGAGGGCAGGGGCTGTACTCTGCCTCTCTTTGTACTTCTAGGCCTGACACGGAGCAGGCACTTACTCCATTCTAGCTGACTGCTTTCCTAACCATGAAGGCAGGAGGCTACAGGACCTCTAAGGCCCCTTCCACCAACTCTTGACGGCCAAGGGACCCTGCTCAAGCACAGGAAATAGAATTACAAGGGATGACATTCACAGAGTCCCCTCCTGCACACGAGCCTGACATCTCTCTGAGGCAGGCAGTGTGCGTACATCTTCAATGGACTGGTGACCTCCCTGAGATGGGCACTCATTACACTGGTGCAGGTTACACTTCGTCCTCACACTCTCATCCTACGGACATTCTTGCCTCCTCCGAGTCCTCCACAGGGAATCCACCCAATGAGTGGCGGCCCCTTCTCAGTCAGTCAGCTGACAAGTATTTATTAAGCCCCTACTAGGTGCCTGGCTCTGTAATGCTAAGCACTGGGGATACCAAGAAAGGCAAAGCATAGTCCCTGCCCTCAAAGTGCTCACAATCTAACGGGGAGACAATATGCAAACAACTATGAGCAAACGAGCTCCAGTCAGGTTAGATGAAAGGCAATCTTGGGGACAAGGCATCAGTGGGCAGGGGTATGCAGTGGGAAGGGCATCTTGCAGAAGAAGGTGGAATATGAACTGAGTTCTGAAGGGCCAGGGAAGCCAGGAGACTTCAGAGGAGAAGGGAGAGCATTCTGAGAAAGGAGGAAAAAGGCCCAGGCAGGAGGCCAGTGTCACTGGATCCAGAAGTAAGGTGTAAGAAGACTGGAAAAGTGTGTGTGGGGGGGTGGGGAGTGGTTTATGAAGGGCTTTAAAAGCCACATGATTTTATGAGGTATTTAATGCTGTAACAGAGAGCCACTGAAGATGACAGAATGGGGGGGGGGGGGTTGATACGGTCAGCGCTTTAAGAAAATCACTTGGGAGCCATTCCCCAATTAATAAACGGTCAAAGTTTTCAGAGAAAGAAATCCAAGACAAGAAGGGAAAATGACAAATGCTGGAGAAGCTGTGGGAAAAACAGGCACGTTGATGTACTGTTGATGGAGCTGTGAACTGGTTTGGCTGTTCTGCAAAGCAACCTGGAACGATGTGCCCCAAAAGCTTTTAATCTGTACAGATACATACATACTCTTTGGGATGTGCCACTAATAGGTCTGTCTACACTCTAAAGAGATTAAAAAGAAAAAAAAAAGAGGAATAGGACCTACAAATTCAGACAATATTTACAGCAGCTCTTTTCATGGTGGCAAAGAATTGGAAACTGAGGGGATGCCCATCAACTGGGGTATGGCTGAACAAGTTTTGATATATGTATGTGATGGAATGCTACTGTGCATGTATGACGAACTGTTACAAAACAAACCGTAACAACTATAAAGACAGTTAACTTTGAGAAACTTAGGAACTCTGCTTAAGATAATGGAACCAACTAGTTCCAGAAGATTCATATTGAAACATACTATCTACCCCCAGATAGAGAGGAGATGGGAGGGAAAACATACAGAACTGAAAATAAAATGAATTGAACAACAACAACAACAACAAAAAAAAGATAATATTGGCAAGTTAGTGGAGGATGGGCAGAAGTGGGGAAAGAGTAGTAAGTTTTTTCTTATCAAGACTTCTTTACATTGTTAAAATTCCACAAGTAGTTTAATTATTACTTCCACTTACAAATGAGAAAATTTAATGCTGGAAGTGGGGGAGAGTAACTGCCTCAAGCCACGGAACACATCTGTGTCAGGGCCAAGACTAAAATCCAATTCTCCTGACCTCAAATCTGGGGATGGTCCCACATCTGCCAAGGCCCGAGAAGCCCACAAAGATCCCACTTCTGGGAGATTAAAAACAAAGAAGCCCCCTGAGGGCAGGTCTTAGTCTTCTCCAGTTTCTCAGCATCTTTCAAAGGGCCTTACTTAGTCGACTAATACATGATTGTGACAGTGTGGCTACTCTCTTTAGATCTGAACTTCCCTACACCTTAGCAGATAGTCTTTTGAGAGTTACTTGGGCCAAAGAGTTCATCCCTGCAGCCACCAAGGTGGGCAGGAAAGTCTCTGAAGCTGACTGGGCCGGTCTCGGGGTAACCTTTAAACTCCAGGCCACAGCCACAGCCCCACACCAGGAGTCACTAGATCTGGAAACGAAACACTTACATCATCTAGTCAATGTTCATCAACGTTTCAGGAATAAATGTATAATCAGAATCTAAGTATGCTGAGCAGCAGGAAGGGGAATAGTGTGAATGAAACTGCAAGCCCTACAAACAAGAAGAGGGAAAAGGTAAAATACAAACCACATGATCTTTTTTATTCTTACCTGTAAAACGATGGGATTTGAATAAATATTCACTAAGGTCAATCACAGATCATTTGATCCTTCCTTTAAAGCATACAAACGCCATTTTAAGAGACAATTTGCCAAAGAACCATTTAGCTTCCTTTGAACAAAGGGCAAGAGATCTAGAAGAGAGGAAAAATCCAGCTTCTGGACATATCACACCAGTTTTCCATGTAAGACCATATGGTCACTTACTACAATTTAGAGATGATAAATTCTCAAACACACAGGCCTGCTCAGCCTGACTATGGCTACTGAGAAACCCCTGCAGGGACAGGTCCTAACTACCACAGGATGTCTGCATGAAGCCTGTCCCGAGCTGACAAACAGGAGCGGGTGCTTTCTGGAGGGCAGGGCTTTACCTTGGAGCAGAAAGTAATCACAAGTGGTCCGTCTGAGGGCTGCCTTGGCCTTGTCACTGCTCCAGTCCACCTCCAGAGCCTCCTTGAACGGACAGAAAACCGCTTTCTGTGGGACAAAAAAACCACAGTTGTCTTAACTACAAAACGAATCAGCCTGGGATCTGTGTAAGCAGAGTCCCCCTAGGATGGAACACCTCCACAAGCTGAGTCCATTTTACAGCTCTCGAGGAAAGCAGGACATTTGAGCCAGAAAACTAAGACAAGCAGAGTGCAATGCTCAACTCCTGGCTCTTTCACAACTTTGCTTCGGGAAGGCAGAGCAAACTAAGTCCAGTTGAAAGAACACAAAGTCAGGAAAGCTCTCTAATTTTCTCTGCTCTTGGATTCTCCCATCTACTTACCAGGGACCCTGAAAAACTCATTTCCCTTCTCTGAGGCTGAATGTCCTCTTTTGTAAAATAAAGAGGTTTGACTAGGCAAATTTTAAGGTCTCGTCCAACTCCCAAATGAAGAAAATCTCCATGCCTCAGTTTCTTTAGTCCAAAAATAAAAACAGCATTGTTCCTCTACTCCGACCTTATTTACATGGACATCTGAAGAGAATTAATTTCATGTTAACCCACAATCCTTTGTTTTTAAAAGTCTCATGTTTCTACAAATAAAACACAGAAGACAGTCTTGATTATTTTTGGTCCTTGAGAAGAGAACCAGGAGCAAAAGGAGGGAAGTTAGAGGGCAGCGGTTTCCTAACAAGGGCCAGCTGAGAATAGCACAGGCTACCTCATGAGAGAGGGAGTGAGTTACTTGTCATGGGAGGTGTCCCAGCCAAGGCAAGATGGCCCCTGATCTTGTAAAGGCATCTGTCCATTCATCCTTCCCTTTCACAAGAAGTTGGACCGAGATGACCTCTAGGTCCCATCCAATTCAGGAGTCAGTGCAATCACAACCAACACAATAAAGATCACCAAATGCTCGTTAAGAGTCCTTATATTTCAAGCAACTTTGGATGTAATTAAACCAAGAAAGACAAATAAGATGGACAGTCCATGAGAATGGACTGGAACAGGACCTGAGTCGCATCAGACTCAGCCGGTCCAACCCAGACCTGAAGAAGCCAAGCCTTCTCCAAAATGCCAACTAGTGGTCATCCGGGCTGAGCCTGCAGAGTTCTAGTGAGGGGTAACCTACCACTTCCAAAGGGAGCCCATTCCAAGGCTCCCAAGCCCCAGTCACGAGGAAGACGGTCTCCTTGTATTGAGTCTAAATCCACCTCTGTGAAAGGTGGTTAGTCTGGCACAAACAACTCCTCATGCCAGTCATGTTGACTCTCTTGTGATCACTAACCAGCCCCTTAAACAGGTTTGAGAATTCTGCCAGGATTCAGTAAGCTTACTGGTCTCTACTACACAGATTCCACTCCCTGATCTTTTGTGAAAATTGGGAATCACCCCATCTCTAATCTTGTGGCACCACTCCCAATGGCCATGGACTTGCAAGGATTCCTCAAAGTGGTGCAGCAATACACGTGCCAGCTGTTTTGAGCAGTGAGGGGCCTAGGATGGTGTGGTTCCCTCTCACTATCTCCCTGCTTCTATTGGGTATCATTCCTTATCAGTTATTACTGTTCCATCTTCTCCAGTTCAGAGATCATTCTCCCTGGCAGAGAAGACAAAAGCAGATTCTGAGGTGCACCACTGTCTTTCCTCAGTCACTGTAACTATCCCATCCCTACAGGCAGAAGCTATACCCAGCCTTTCTCTGACTCTCCTCTCCGTTCTCCCTCAGCATCTGCACTAGTCCCAGCTTACTAGGAGCTTTATTCTGAGAGGACCAGGCCGCCCTTTTATTTGACTCCCCTGTTATGTCCCCTCACTTCCATTTTCTGTACATGTCTTTTTAAAAAATGAGTGACAGGGCAGCTAAGTGGGGCAGTGGGTAGAACATCCTGCCTGGAGTCAGGAGGACCTGAGTTTTAACCTACCCTCAGACATTTATTAGCTGTGTGACCCTGGGCAAGTCACTTAACCCCAACTGCCTGGAAAAAGAAAGGAAGTAGGATATTTGCTAGTATTCTATTTGGATAGAGCACCAGCCCTGAAATCAGGAGGACCTGAGTTCAAATTGGCCTGAGACCAAACCCTTGACACTTACTGGCTGTGTGACCCTGGGCAAGTCACTTAACCCCAAATGCCTAAAAAAAAAATCTGAGTGAGTTCCCTGGGCAGTCAAACTGGTCTCTTTTTTAGACAATTCTCCCCTTTCTTTCTCACCAGAACTGTTTCTTTGTGTCTTCAAAATTTAAATCTTGAGAGCTTCCCATCCCACATAGGCTGACACTGACTTCCTCTATAGAATTTTAGGCCATAGGATCATCCTTTCTCTGACTCCCTTTAAGATGCTTTTCTCTCCAATGCTATGTAAAGAGTGGGTATCAGATTATTTCCAATTTTCCTTTCCTCTACCTCAAACTCAAAAAAAAAAAAAAAAAATCACTTCTCCCCAACAAAGCAATCACTTCCATCCCAAATAATCATTTCCTACTTCTTGGTAAAAAGCAAATTCAGAATACCAAGTCACCTACGTGATTTTTCCACCAAGGGAAAAATTACCAGTAAGAGAAGCCAAGAAATTATTGGATGCTTTACATCAGTCAGAGAGAGGTCCCACAGATGCCTAGAAAAAGGATGTCCCCCTTTACTGTTGTATCCCCACTGTGCTGACCTGGCAATATCTCTCCGAATTCCTCCTCGATTCCCTTTTTATCCAGGTAGCCTGCAGCATGTGAAAGTGCTGCTTGTGTGTCTGCTGCCACTGACCCTTGACTCCCAGGAGTGGAGTGGTTCAGACTACTGCTGCATGAGGCTTCACCTCCCATCGTCCCTGGGCTCTGCTAGAGTTGTCGGCTTTACAATTTCAAAGTATTCACCTGAAAATCTCCTTTTGCCTATAACTACTTAAATTGTAGTCACTTAATTCGGACGGCCAGTTTATAAAACAAGCACCAAACTAAACCATAACAAAAAAATACTATTAATCAGTCTACTAAAGTCTACACAGAGTCAGTCTATATTTATAAATCAGTCTATTAAAAAATGAAAACGACAATTACAAAGACTGTTAACATATTCTAAGAGATCAATGTCTGGTATACTGGGCAGTTCAACCATGTCATCCAGGCAGTACCAAGATGGTTTAAGCAAAGGGAAGTTCAAATTGCTGGAGAAGATTAAACAAACATGGTTTTCCTCCTTCCCACAGCTGCTGCCAAGCGGTTCCAACACATTGTAAACAGTGATATATGACACACCATAGATTGTTTGGCTGTCCCGGCGCTTTTGGCAAATGATACTAACCTCAAAAGACAGAGCTAATCCAGTGATGCTGAATACTAGAGCAGTCTGCCAGACAACTCCTAAAGAAGTCTTACAAGAGAAGTCAAACTATTCACTGCACAGTCTGATAGAAGATAACCTAGTTTTTTTTTTTTAAAACAAGTTTAGAAAACTATGAACATCAATTTAGAGGAACCACTTGACCCTTTCCCAAGAAAAATACTACTAAAAGCCATCTTACAACTAGTTTTTTTCTTACTGTTGTGACGACCAAGATTTTCCTGAACTACTGATTTCATCTAGTACATCTATGGCACAGGGAGAAGTTATCAGCTGCTTGGGGAGTGTCAAGAGAACTGCTCAAAATCCGGAGACACAGGTTCCAGTCCTGGCTGACCTGGAGCAAATCCGCTGACTGTGGGCCAGAGCCTCAGGATCTTTATCAGTAAGACCCCTGCTACACCCATCCCACTGGAACAAATAAAAGGCATTATTATCACTAGACAGAGCACTGCTTTCAGACAATCAATTAGGGGACCTTATCTGTTGTAAAGATAGAATTCAGAGTCAATACAACTCCCTACGGCACCCACTCCCCACTTCCTGGCCAACTCCCAAGGCTTGGCTCTTCCACAAATCATCAAATCACTCTCTGTGGGATGCAGGAGGAAGAGCATGGCAATGAACAGTAATAGTGCCTGGCCTGCCTTATGGGACAGGACGGGATGGAACAAAACTGTGTTTGTGTGTGTGTGTGTGTGTGTGTGTCTAAGCCACTTAACCTATACTAGCCTAGACAGACTCATCTATTAAAGAAGGAATTTGCAGTAGATGCATTTCTTTGAGTCTCCTCCATCTCCAAATACCATCTGTATTTTCTCAGGATCAGACAATTTAGAACAGGTCCTTAAAAATCTAGCTCACCTCTTCCTTTTATAAGAGGAAGCTGGGACCCATAGCAAGTGGTTTGTCCTAGATCATATTTGTAGCAAGTGGCACAGTTAGCCTTCAGAATCCAAATCCCAGTCTTTACCACTATGCCATGTTGAAGGAAATAAAGCAGACTGGCACTCAATAGAACTGGGCTGAGGTCCTGGCTCCATCACTTCAGTGGACAGACACCTTGAGCAAATTAAGCCCACTGATCCAGTTGTCTCAGCTGTAAAATAATGATTTAATACTTGCATGAACTGCCTCAGAGAGATATTGTCATTAAAGAATGCAATGGCTACAAAGCACCACGTAAACAGCAAGATAACCTGACTGTCCTGTTGCCTGATTTGGCCCAGTACTGATCAGAACAGACAATCAATAGCTGCTCACAGACCAGCATCATCAAAGCAAGACTAATTTATTTATGGGTCGGATGACAGATAGTGGAAGTTTACACAGCATAAGTATGGCTCATAAAAATAGGGAAAGGGCTGAGTATTGGACAGGCCATTTCAGCAGTTATGAGGAAACTCCCTCTATTGGTGCAGGCTGGCATCTTCTCTGGGTGAGCCTTTCTTGGGCATATAATAGTAGCAGACACTTGGGTGTACTTACAGAATTATGTGGCTTCTAATTAGCCAGGCACAAAAGAGGTACAGAGAAAAAAATTAATAGTTCCAAGGACTATCATAAGTTCACAACTTATTATTTTAACCTAACTCTGAAAATAGGCATTATATTAATTTTGAACATGATTCCTAATAGAAATATGATTTTAAAAAAAGAAATATGTGATTAATTAAAGGAAACCTACTTATACAATTTGCATACTCAATTAAGTCAGGAAATACTAGAGGTGCCTACAGGGCATAGTAGTCAAACTGCTGGACTTGGGGTCCAGAAGGATCTTGAGTTCAAATCCCTCTTAAGACACCTACTAGCTCTGTAACCTTGGGGCAAACCACTTTGACTTCCTTCCTCCTCCACAAAACAACAGTAGACAACAACAGCACCCACCACACAGAGAGTCTTTGTGAGGAACAAATGGCATAATGAAAGCAAAATGTTTTTTACCGACCTTAAAGTACTACAGAAATATTAGTGGCTATTTATCTTTTTGTTACCACTACTCGTACTTCTAGTACTAGTACTACTAGTACTACTATTACTACTACTAAAAAGAACACTGGTTAGGACAAGATCTGGAATCAGGCTTTTTTTTTTACACATTAACTAGCTATGTGATAGAAAACCAGGGCCTCAGTTCCCTACTCTGCAAAAGAAGATTGGTAAGTATTTTCTGATGAGAATGAGAAAGTTCAAGGACAGTGTACAAACTGTCTCCAAACCTTTGGAGAGTTGTCACAGGAAAGAGAAATTCGACTTCTTTTTGACACTAATAGGCAGACCTAAGCAATGGTGAGTAGTCGTCTGGAGATACATTTTGTCTCAATGCAGAACAGAACATTCTATCACTCTTAGTTATCCAACAAAACTGGTAGATAGTGGGCTCAGTCACTGGAAGGCTTCATTCAACAAGAGGTAGGAAAACCATCTGTTGAGGATATTACAAAGCAGATTCCTATGTTGGGTGGGAAGTTGGGAATAGACTGCAATGAGGTCCCTTCCAACTATCTGATTGTGTGACCCAGATCTGATCTGTGTCTCAGGTTACTTCCTCACCCTGACATCCTGGCTAGGTTCTTTCTTCTCAATCACTTGGTGGGAGCAGGCAGCATAACAACACTGCTTTATTTGAGCTGAAGATTACAGCATCAAAAATGTCATTTCCTTTTTTGGGGACAATGTTATTAAACTGAGATGAGGGAAATGCTCTAGACGCAGTTGATCAGGGTTTTAGCGAAGCATAGAACAAAGCCTCTTGTGCTACTTTTGTGGCCAAGATGGAGAGATGTGTAACCACAACAGTAGTTACATGGATTCAAAATGGCAAGCTGAATGACTAGCTACAAAGAGTCATCCCTACTAGCTAGATGTCAACCTGTGGAGTACCCCGGTAGCTAAGCCTGGCCCAGGACCTGGATTAAAGGCATGGTTAATCTAATGTGCAGATCACACTACACTCAGAGAGATCGGTAACAAGTAGATGACAGACTCAAGATCAAAAAAAAAAAACAAAAAAAAAGAAAAAGGTCACACTCTAGAACTGGGGCCAAATCTAGCAAAACGAAATTTAATGGAAATCAATGTCAAATGTCACACTTGGCTTTTACAAAATGGCCTCGATGTGGCCAGATGGCATTTTGTCTGCAAGGGATCTGAGGGTCTTAGTGGACAGCAAGCTCAAGGAGTCAAGTGTGAGGGAGCAGCCAAAAGAGCTCCTGTTACCCTAGGCCGTTTATCCAGGACAGCCAGGAGGACAGGGTGAGGCTGGATTGGATATTAGTCAGACGACATGTGGCACCACATTTTGTGAAGGATGCTAATAAACTGGAGAGAGTCTGCAGGCAGGCAAGCAGGAAGGTTAAAGGCCTCAAGACTAGTCCCATACAAAGACTGGCTGAAGGACCTAGGGCTGTTAAGCTTGGAGAAAAGTTGACTTGGGGGGAACATGACAGTTGTTTTCAAATATTTCCAAGGCTCTCACGTATAAGAGGATGCTGAAGGGGAAGGAGGACAGAACTAGAGCAGTGAGTCTTTGATCCACAGAAGGAGATTTTTTTTGGGGGGGTTAAGCAGGGTTTAGTGACTTGCCCAAGGTCACACAGCTAGAAAGTGTAATGTGTCTGAGGCTGGATTTGAACTCAGGTCCTCCTGACTCCAGGGTCGGTGTTCTATCCACTGCGCCATCTAGTTGCCGTGACAGAAGGAGATTCTCAAGTAAGTCTGAGGTACACTGTCTAGATGAGAGGGGGCAACTAAAGCAACTCTGACCCTAAAACCTTGTCTACACCAAGTGAGCACAAGACCCCTCATTCTGGTGGAGATGAGCACTGACCCACATGTGCTAGAAAGAGACATGGAGGTGGGGCCCGAAGACCTGGCTTTGCACCTGGCTCTGTCCTCACCCCATGTGACTGGGGAGGTCACCCACCATCCTTCATCTACAATGACAGGGATGGCCATTCCTACTGGTATTTTCTGGGCCTCAGAAAAGCATTCAGAAGCTCCACAAAGGTATCAAAATCATTTTCCTAAGGAGTTTCTCCCCCCCCGCTTTTTTTTTTTAAAAGTTTCTAGTCACTACACCAGGTAGATTTAGGAATACAAAGCCTACCTTGGGGTGCTTTGCACCCCAGGGAGGCCTGCATGAGCACTCACCAAGAGTCAACTGGAGAAGCTAGAGGTGCCTGCTCTCTGCTGAACTAACACAGTACAACTTAACTGGTGACTCTTTACAATGTAGACAGAGGGGCAATGTCTGAACCAGGGAACCACCAAATTTGAAAGCACAAAGGGCCCCCAGAGAATAACTGATTCTCATCCAAACACTTCATTTTGCAGAAGCAGTTACTTGAAGCCCAGAGAGTTGACTAATGGCAGAATCACCACCAAAATGGAGAGGTGCAGACTCCCAGGCCTGTAAAAGGCTGCCTGGCAGGGCTCCATAAAGCCAAGGTTTGGAATGTTGGAGAAGATCAATAGGAATGCACTGTATGCATCAAAACCTTAACAGATAAGGGTTGGAGCACTGGTTCAAAATGTCCAAGAGAAACAGCTGACTAACAATGTCAGCTGGAGAATATTTTGATACCTTAAAATTGGGCCCTGGGTAGGACGAAGGGCTTGTTAACCGACAAGCTGGATGAGTGGGGCACAAAGGCCCCAGGGTGCATGACGGGGCAGCCGACATTCCCCTCATAGTTAGAGAAAGTAGCTCCCACAAGGGGATTTCCAGAGCAGCTCGGCAGGACTGAGAGCAGTGTCAAACTTCCAGCTGTGAATGGCTAACAAAGCAGGGCACTAACTTTATTTAAATGTGAAAGCCCTACTCCAATTCCAGAAGGTCTTAAAGATATAAACCCCTCCTCACCAAGGCCAAGTGTCAACCTGCTAAGAGGGTGTGATTTATAAAGTGACAGCACCCACAATGAAGCTTTTATACTCCTGCATTTGTTAACAATTCATCTCTCCCAGACCCTCTCACCACCGCTCCAAAGCTTGACTGAGCAGGGCAAAGGGGGCGGGGGTGGGGGGTTGCTAAGTTTTGGTCAAAACACCAATGTTCACTCTGAGGATAATTAAGTTACTGTGAACTGATATTTAGATATGGACTTTACAATTCCCTTAAGGCATATTTCTTACCTCAGCTTTAAGATACTCAAATATAAAATACAACAACACTTTAAGAGTTTGTTCCGTGACTGTGGTTTCTGCAGTTAGGAATCACTTTAAAAGGGATTCAAACAACAACAAACCAGTCTAGAATGTCTACATTGCCTGTTATTTTTCCGCAAAAGATCTGACACTAAAGAGTAGCCAGATACCCCACATCTGGTCCGCCTTCTGCTTCCACTAACTTTTCTTGGCTCCCAGCCCTTCACCCTCTCTCTATCTTTTCAGACAATAAAACAATTTCCAAGGCAGCTGATGCAACAAAGAAATTGTCCTAATGTGCTGCCCCCCTCCCCCCTTCTCTAGAATCTGGACTGGGTTTGTAAGGCACCCAACTCATAAAATGATCATCTTAATAAAAGCTCACTCTTAGATGGTTCAAAGTGCTTTTCTCATAACTACCTCACGTGATAAGTACAGTTCAAATATTATCATTCTGATTTTACAGATAAGGAAACCAAGGTTCATTGAGGAGAAGCCTTACCCAAAGCCACCAGTAGCTCTGGATCAAGGCTTCTTCACCTTCTGTGTGCCATGGACCCCTTCGGGAGTCTGGTGAAGCCTAGAAGGGATTCCGTGTCAGAACATGGAGCCCAGATTAAGAGCCCATGCTCCAGATGCTCCCTTTCTCCCAAGCCTTTGCTGGACTATTTACCTCTTTCCACCCCTTCTTTTCTACCCAAACACCATCAGTCATCACACCCGTGATCCCTGCCCACCTGCCACCTTCCCAGGTGAAAGGATCTCTCCCCTCCTCACACTGGCCCTCTCCTTCATGCTCTTCTCATCTGCCACTCTCAGCCCAGCCTGGTCCGCTCTATCAAACCGTGAGCTGAAAGTACAGCCTGTTTCTCAGCATCGTTATCTTCAGGGCCAATGAAAATGCATTTATACAGAGTACACACTTAAAGTTTCTTGAAATGAAAAGGAGACAAAGAAGCCAGAGCTTCTGCCTCCAAATCCATTACATACTGCTGCTGCCCACCTTTCTAAAAGCACGCAGTCACAGTAAGACTATGGATAGTTCCATTTAACAATCTACTCTATGACCTGTTTTTCAACACTAAAAGCTTTTGTTCAAAGGTTATTATAAGTGGTCTCTGCCCCAGAGGTGCAGCATGAAAATACCAGGGACCCCAGGTGAAGGCAGCCAGCAGGCACCTCCACTCAAAGATGAGGCTGTTTTCAGATGTGGCAGCCCAGCCCCAACTCCCTCCCTCGGCCCTCCGAGCAGGATAAGGGGTGGGAAGGGTGGAGGGACATTAGGACATCTACCTTTTTCACCATCATCGTTTCTGTGGCCTCCAACTTTGCCTTCTTAGTGTCAGGTCCATCTTCCACTCCTGGGCTGACTTTGGAGACTTTGGTTTTCTCCCTAAAGATGACACGAGTCACAGAATCTCAGATGCGGAAGAGGCTTTGGGGGTCCCTAGTTTAACTGCCTCCCCCCAAACCTGGTTCCTCAACCCCAGAGCCTCTGCTCAAAGGGCACCCATTCTATTCTTGGACAGGTCCAATGGCTGGGCAGCTTTTCCTGACATCAAGCCCAGCAGAGACCATGAATGCCTGTGAGAGGGACCTGGATGTTATCTTCAGTCTGATTACCTTTAGAGGCAGGAGGACTTGCCCAGTTCCCAGAGGTCTCTCTTAGGTGAGCTAAACCCTCTCAGAGCTTCCAGTACAGGCACCCAAGGGAATGCAGCAACACCACTACACTACACTCAGCCCTCTATAACGTAAAGACTTTACATGCAGCTTCTCAGGGCTCCTTTCAAATGACTCAAGGTAATAGTCTACGACTCTAGGTTCAAAGAACTAATGAGAGTCAAACAAACAGGTCTGTTTGAAATATGGCTCCTTAATGCATTCATAAGTGCTAAAAAGACCACCAGCAACACTTGTTCATGGATGGACCAGACCACTTCATAGCTTAGTCTCATAGCAACTTTCATAACATTCTCTCATCCGAAATTGAGGCTGACAGGATCCCAGACTTATAAATGGAAGGAGCCATCTAGTGCAGCCTCCTCATTTTACAGATGAGGAGCCTGGGGCCCAGAGAGGGTCAGTAACATATTTCAACACATCCATGATCATGGTCCCTCTCTCTACGGTACTGTTCACAACCCATCCTTAAGCTCTTGTATCATTCTTTTGCAAGTCTTTCTAGAGGATCCTCCCTTGCCCCCAAGCCCCTATTATGCTGGAGGCCTTGCTCTGTCTTTCTCTTTCATGGATACTAAGGCACCATCGAGGTGCGTTCCTATTAACCTGATTCCTGTGATTCCATCTTCTGAAGCAGTACAGCATTGTGGAGAGGGCACTGGACCTGAAGTCAAGAAGACCTGGGACTGACGTCTTCCTCAGACACCTCCTCTCTGCATGACCCCATGAACTTCCAGGTCCTTCCGTAAAATGTGATCACAGCACTGACCTCAAAGGCTCAGATAAGAGACAGGATGGGAGTGCTGGTAAAACCTACAAGCACTCCAGAATGGGCCTAAGTCATTGCTGGGGACGGCCAGCCAACTCATTTCTTCTGGCCATACGTGTCCTTGACTCTTCTGTTTATGCCACTTCCACACACAGGCCCTTCTCACTAGGAATACAATAATGCAGCCTGTTTAGGGCCACAATGGGGCCAAGTCAAATAATGGCCTGAAGTGCACTCTCTGGTACTGAGCACACACACATACATGTGTACGCACACACGCACGCACCCACAGTACTGTGCCAGGCACTTTGATGGGAAGAGTTGGACATTCTTGCTCTTTAAAAAATTTTAACTGATCTGAACAATGTAGGCCCACAGAAAATATAATTAACTGAAACCAAGGAAGCAGTTAGTAGCCAGACTCAAAAGAACGAGTATGCAGTCCAGATTCTCCATTCCCTGCAAGTCAGTGTAAGCATTGTTTTTCAGGCTCTTATATGCAGGTGTGTTAGCTCTAAAATGAAACTCCACAGGTGATTTCCTCTGCTTTGTCCATTTGGTCTGCATTGGCAAATTTCCAAGTCTAGAACATGAAGATCCCTTCTTCCCTCAGTTCCTACAGTCAAAGTTACAGACCTTGGTAATTCTCAGTGTACAATGAGCCACAAAAGAGGACGATAACTAGAGCCAGGCCTCCAGCACAATGGATTTGAGGGGTGGGGGAGTGAGGGGAATGAAAAAGGTAATGGATGTGTTGAAATATGTTACTGAATTACCTCAATGCTAAAAGCAGTGGCATTTTAGGCTGTCAGTTCCCTCCTATCCAATCCAATTTAATTTAATTTTTAGGAAGCTGTGAACTCCTCTCCCAGCACTTACTCCACAAACTCATGCTCTCCCAGATTGGCAAACATGTATCCGTGGTAGCCAAAAACATCCCCGGTAAAGAACTTGATGCTATTTTTATAACAGATCTGGTCAATTTTAACTAAGACATCCCTGGAACAGCAAGTCAGACATACCTAGAGAAAAGGAAAGAAGCTGGGAATGAGTTTTTGAAATCAATGATTCACCTTACTGACATTTAACTATCCTAAATAACAGGCTCTGTGGACATGTTTAAGACCAGTTTCAAACTGGTAAGACAGGCTCTTGGAATATCACTATTAGAAGGCAAGAAAAATGGCAGTTTTCAGTGTATAGAAATATAAACGAAGTTAAAATGCCACTCTAGTGACCCCAAATGGGTTTAGACAGAGCCCAAAAACTGACCAGTTTAAGGTCCTACAACAAGATGGGGTATATTCCTTATCTATAAACACATTAGTGAGACATCCTTAACATCAGCTTCAATTTGGACACAGGCACTTTCAATAAATGAAAAAACCCTACAGCTAGATAAGTAAATAAAAAAGGGGAAGGAGAAACGGACAAGGAAAGAAGGTAAGAATTCTTCCTCAAAACGCCTTCCGTCCATGCCAATAGTGTGATGTGACTGTCAAGCAGCCAACACAATCAATCTTGGGCTGCATTAATAAAGGCGTATGCCAAGTGTACACAGAAGAGAGCCGTGAAGATCGTGATGAACCCAAATCAAGGCATGTGAGAAAGTTTTCTTCCAATTTTAAATGGTTGCCAACTTACAGTCAGGACCAAAACCACTTTTCAAAAGTGATCACTAGAGATCATCAATGTACCTTAGAATAGGCATGTTCTCTCTCTTCTGGGCTGATGTTAGGAAAATAGAAATAAAACAAAGCCCTGCTAGGATTTCCACCCACAAAATCTGGTGTGAAAAGTTGTCTGCATTAATGGCCAACAGCAAAGGTTACAAACCCAAGTGACCTTTCATTCAGACTCAGTGACTCACTCAAAGTGATGATCAATGTATTTCTGGGACTGCTGGTCTGTACTCCACTAAATCAAGGAGCTGCCATGATACACTTTAATACTTGAACTAGCAGACAGGATCAAACAGATCAAGTGTAAGAAATTCAACTTCCGAAGACTATGTATTTCCTCTATGGGCAGGGTTTTTAAAACTTTTTTCTGTATTCTGGACCCCTATGGCAGTCTGGAGAAGCCTATAGACTTCTCAGAATCATGTTTTAAATGCATAAAATAAAACACCTAGAATTACAATGGAAGCTAAGTACAGTTCTCATGAGATGTATATATATAGATAGATAGATAGATATAGATAGATATAGATATATATATATAGATAGATAGATAGATATATCCTTTTTTTTGGCCAGGCAATGGGGTTAAGTGACTTGCCCAGGGTCACATAGCTAGTAAGTGTCAAGTGTCTGAGGCCGAATTTGAACTCAGGTCCTTCTGACTCCAGAACTGGTGCTCTATCTACTGCACCACCTAGCTGCGCCCCTCCAATAACATTTTAAAAAAACAAGTTTACAGACCCCTAGGTTAAGAACATCTACTTTTAAGGGAATGTGAAAAAAAATGACAAAAGTGTGTTTTTGGTTTTTGAGCCCACATTCTCTCCACCACAGCCTAGCTTGTAAACCTTAAAAATGGAAATAATCTCCTTTTCAGAAGAGAAAAATGTGTTGGTGAATTAGTCAAAAAATACTCCTATCTCCAGACAACAATAAAGCTTAAACCAAATGTATTAGTGAACAGATGTGTAAAGGGGATTAAGTAGAAACCTGCCCCACTGTATCATTAAGAGGGCCCATTAACACAAACAGATGCTCTATTAGGAAAAGGGTCAGACTAATGGGCAATAAGGTAGCAGCTCCTATTTACTGTGCATCTAAATATCACAATTAGCGGCTTGACACTTTGGCTCTAGTAACCAGATCCTCTAAGGTTAACAATTCAAGGAATGCCACAAATGAACCAAACGTCTGCTTCAAGTTATTATTGAGGAAAGAAATCAATTACAGAGATTCTTCCTGCAAGTATAAAATGTCATGATCTTTGGTGCCACAAAAGAGAAACAAGAAAGTGTAGAAAGGCCTAAGTGAATAGATGGCCTGTTTGAAAGGATATGCTGAGAAATTTTAATATTGTGAAAAGTCAAGCTCAAAATTTCACTTCCTGTAAAACTTACAGCATCAAATTGTGTGAAGAAAGTCTCAGGCTTATCTTCTATATTCTCTGTGTCCACCTTCACATCCACCATGGGATTAAGATTCTGGGCCCGTTCCAAAGAGGCTTCTGCCCTGTTCCGGCCAGAAGATCCAGCAGTAGGAATCAAGAACTGAGCACTAGTGTCTTCAGGAGATACCTGGGAATAAATTTTAAAATTCTTAAACTTTTGCACAAAAGTCATCTCTAACAGAAGACAGTGTGACAGACTTTTGGATTTTCAAGGATAATCCACCCCTCCCACCCCTGCCCAACAAACACACCTATAAAACCTACATTCAAGAAACAGCAGCCAATTTTGTCCCCTGCTTCCTTTCCTCAACCTCCCAGGAGAGAAAAATTTCACTTGCTACTGTTCTTCCCATTCTGAGGTCAATAGCTCCCCCTTGTGTTAAGAAAAAAGCCATCGCTGTATCAAAATTCCCCAAACAAGATTGTCCATCAATAAGGCTTAGGGAGGCAAAGGTAGAATGTCCAGAAATTGGACAAAGCCTCTGCTCTGAAGCTCACGGTCTAGCTACAGAAAACTAACACCCTTGGGAACAATGAAAGAAGGTCTGCATACCAGTCAATCACAAGCATTGATTAAATGGGGCACTACAAGCTGGGACACACACAGCATATAAAAGACAAACACCACAAAGAAGGCTATTGACTATAGGTGCCACTGGACTCTGTGAAAAGAGGGACCTATAACGGGATGCGTCGATGACAGAAGATTTCCCAGGGCCAGTGAAGAAGGTGGCTTTTCAGTCGGTTTTGTCCGTAGTGTCAGAGTGCTGTGCAGTCTCCTCCCCCAGTGCATTAAGGCAGACAGGGTGAAGTGACTGACCCAGGGTCACCCAGCTGGTGCATGTGTGAGGCCAGATCTGCACTCGGGTCCTCCTCCTTTGAGCTGGTGCTGGAGGCAGAGAGGGCCTCAGGCAAGTCCAAGGGGGCCAGGAAACAGCCTGAACATTGGCTCAGGGACTGAGCCTTGTTTCCCTGGGCAGGGCAGAACAGGCCTCAATCTCTTCAACTGTAAAGCAAAATGTCCTCTGAGGCCCCTCACAGCTCTAAATATAGGATCTTCATAGATTTTTTTCCCCACACAAGAGAAATATTCCCAACACAAAACCCCCATAATCAGACACTGATCAAGACCTAAAACATGAGACAGCAAGCCATAACTGCTATCAAACTCTCCCAAGAGCCTGATATTTAAAAATAATTTAAAAAATGAAATATTTTGTAGGACTGCTCAACAGCCATCTTACCCTTACCTCAGTTTCTACACCATCCAAATAACTCCTTCCATAATCCCTGACAGGCCACGGCACGGCCTTAGCTCATTCTGCTGGCAGTGGGCATCCCCTCCCTCCAGGAATGTTATGTGAGTTGGATGGAGCACTGCCCATGCTGCAGCCTGCAGTAACAGAGGGATCCAGGAGCTCCTGACTTCTATAATGTATAAGGCTGTCTCTAAGTTGGAAACTGCAATCTCAGGATCAATGTTCCTGAGTCAACAAGCATTTATTGGGGGCAGCTAGGTGGCACTGTGGATAGAGCACCAGCCCTGGAGTCAGGAGAACCTGAGTTCAAATGCGACCTCAGACACTTGACACTTACTAGCTGTGTGACCCTGGGCAAGTCACTTAACCCCAACTGCCTAGCCAAAAAAAACAAAAAACAAACAAAAAAAAGGAGGCAGCTCCTGTTCCACATCTATTTGTAAAGAAAAGCATAATGTCTTTAAATCATTCTCTAAATAGAGATCATCTTTTTGCAGTGTTTAAAAACAATGCCTACTATTTGTGAGGTAGACAGCTAGGTGGTGCAGTGGATAGAGCGCCTGGCCCGGAGTCAAGAAGACTTGTCTTCCCGAGTTCAAATCTGTCCTCAGTCACCAACTGGCTACATGATCCTGGGCAAGTCACTTCACCCTGTTTGCCTCAGTTTCCTCATCTGTAAATGAGCTGGAGAAGGAAATGGCAAACCACTCCAGGATCTTTGCCAAGAAAACCCCAAATGGAGTCACAGAGCATCTACACAACTCAAATAACTGAACAACAACAATTTGAGAGACACTGTGCTGAGTGCTGGGGATAAAAAGAAAGATAAAATATAGATCCTGCTCCCCAAGAGCTTATAAATGAAAGAGTGAAACACGCAAACACCTATGGACAAACATTATATACAGAGGATAAACTGAAGACAATCCACAGAGGGAAGGCATTACACTAGCATTCAGGGGGAAAGTAAAGGTTTTGTGCAGAGCAGGGGAGTGTCATAATGAAAATCAGTTTCAGAAAAATAGGGAATTTACTTCTTTTCTCTTGTGACCAGTAGCTGGTCTGCCATGGAAGACACAGAATCATAGCTCCTAAGGTCTTGGATTACTTCAATCTACATTCAGCCTCCATCAGTTCTTTCTCTGGAGGTGGAGAGCATTTTTCATTATAAGTCCTTTGGAATTGTCTTGGATCACTGTATAGCAGAGAAGAACTAAGTCACTCACAGTTAATTATCATTACAATATTGCTGTTACAGCACACAATGCTCCCCTGGTTCTGCTCATTTCACTCTGCAACAGTTCATACATATCGTTCCAGGTTTTTCAGAAGCTATCTTGCTCATCTATTTTTTTATAGCATAGTAGTATTCCATCACAACCATATACAACTTGTTCAGCCACTAACCAAATGGTGGGCATCCCCTCAATTTCCAGGTCTTTTGTACATATGACTCCTTTTCTTTGTCTTTGCTCTCTTTGGGATAAAGACCTAGCAGTGGTATTGCTGGGTAAATGGTATGCACAGTTTTCTAGCCCTTTGGGCATAGTTCCAAATAGGTCCTCAGAATGGTAAGATCAGTTCACAACTCTACCAACAGTGCAACAGTGTCCCAATTTTTACACTATCCCCTCCAACATTTGTCATTTTCCTTTTCTGCCATACTAGCTAATCTGATACGTGTGAGGTGTTCTAATCTCATTTCTCTAATCAATAGTAATTTAGAGCATTTTTTTCATGTGATTATAGATAGCTTTGATTTCTTCTTCTGAAACTACCTGTTCATATCCTTTGAGCATCTGTCAACTGAATGACTCATTCTTATAAATCTGACTCAGTTCTCTACATATTTGAAAAAGCAAGCTTTATCAGAGGAACTTGTAAAATCCACCCCGCCCCCCACAGCTTCCTGCTTTTCTTCTAGTCTTGGTTGCATTGGTTTTGTTTGTACAAAAGTGTTTTAATTTGATATAATAAAAATTATCCATTTTATATTCCATGATCCTCTCTACCTCTTGTTTGGTCATAAATTCTTCCCTTATCCATAAATCTGACAGGTAAAATGGTCCTCTAATTTGCTTATAATATGATCTTCTACAGCTAAATGATGTACCCATTTTGACCTTATCTCATCATAAGTTGTGAGATATTGGCCTATACCTAGTTTCTGCCAAACTGCTTTCTAGTCACCCTGCGATTTTTGTCAAACAGTGATTTCTTGTCCCCAAATCTTGGATTTTGGGGTTTATCAAATACTAGATTACCTTGGTCATTCACTGCTACATATCATGTACCCAATCTACTCCACTGTTCCACCACCATATTTCTTAGCCAGTACTAGGTTGTTCTGATGATTACCATGTCATAATATAGTTTGAGATCTGGCTTTGGCCACCTCCTTCACTTTTTTTTCATTGATTCCCTTGATATTCTTGACCTTCTGTTCTTCCAGATGAATTGTTATGTTTTTTCACTGCTCAATTTCACTACAGTTCTGAAGTCAAAGAGCTACTCTTCCAATTCTCCAACCCTGCCCAATCCTTAGAAGCATCTCTGCCTTCACTTCAGTCAGTTAGTCAACAAGCATTTATTAAGCAGTTGCTACAGGCCAGGAATCAAATTAAAGTCAGCCATTTCAGTGGCCTGAACAGAAATGAAACATTTCTTCCCTTTCTGGAAGGATAGATTTACCTCTGGAATAAAGTCGACATCCCTCACAGTGAGTGCCCAGATGTCCAAGACAAGGCAATGGCAATCCAAGGAGATACTATCTGACTTAAGAAAGATGTGGACTAAAAATAATGGCTCACAGTGACACAAACTTTTCAAATTTCCAAAGGGCTACAAAACTATGCACACCCTTTGACACAGCAATACCACTGCTAGGTCTGTATCCCAAAGAGAGCAAAGAAAAGGGAAAAGGACCTATTTTGTACAAAAATATTTATAGCAGCTCTTTCTGTGGCAGCATAGAATTAGAAATTGAGAGGATGCCCATCAATTGAGGAATGGCTGAACAAGTTGTGGTATATGATTGTGATGGAATACTATTGTGCTATAAGAAATGATGAGCAGGATGGTTTCAGAAAATCTTGTTAAAACTTAAATGAACTCATGGGAAATGAAGTAAACAAAACCAGGGGAACACAGTATACAGTAACAGCAATATTGAATATTGTAATGATGACCAACTGTGAATGACTTAGCTATTCTGATCAAGACAATGATCCAGGACAATTCCAAAGAACCCGTGATGGAAAATGCTGTCTACCTCCAGAGAGAAAATTGATGGCCTCTGAGTGCAGACTAGAGCAGACTTTTCTACTTTATTTTTCTTGGGTTTTTTTTTTGGGGGGGGGTGCAACATAGCTAATATGGAAATATGTTTTGCATGATTTCACATACACCAATGATATCATAATGTTTGCCTTCTCAATGGTTGGGGAAAGGGCTGGAAGAAGGGAGGGAATAGGGAACTCAAAATTTTAAAAAATGAATATAAAGCATAATTATTTAAAAATAAAAAAACAAAATTGAGTGAAAGACTCCAATGAGGTATAGAGCACAAGGTCACCTGCACTGTGTGTAAGTGACAGAGCTACGGTCCAGTTTCGCTCTCATAACAGGACACAACCTCCCCCTCTGTCCCACCACTCACACTCACATACAGACTAGCATCCTGCTCCACTTGACCCATGAAATCTTGGCTGTGGTGAGACAGATGAGACTGATAAGCAGATTAATAAAAATGGAGTTTCACCTTCTGATGATCCATCATGGTCAGTCCTTTCACACCTGCCAAAATGAGATTCTTCGCCACTTCTGCCCCCAAACCTTTCATTCCAACAAGAAGCACCCGGGAGGCCCGCAACCTGTAATAGAGACACACCATCGATTATAGAAGGACTACGAGATGCTTTCACAAATTTCAGGAATGGCTGGCTGTTTTGGATTTTCAGAAAGAATCTCAGTTGGAAGGCCCTCCAGGAGTCATTAGGATGCTGAGATTCCATCCTAAAAAAGGCCCTCCAAAAGTCATCCAAAGTCTACCTTCCGGATTTTCTGGATGACAGATGAGGCTTTGTGAGCTGAAGAGACTTGTCCAAAGACTCCCAAGAGGTTCTAGTCCTCTTTCCATCATCTAGCATGGCCTCTCTGGATCTGAACAGGAGTGACTTCTATATCATCCTTAGCAAATCACACCATCCCAGTTTTAAAGCTGGAACCTCAAAGGTCACCTAGGCCAACCTCCTCATTTTAACAGTGGATGAAACTAAGGCCCAAACAATCCAAAAACACAACTTGGAGTTAACCTAGAAAAGTCACTCAACCATACACACTCTTTGACCCAGCTATTAGGCATGTATCTTCAAGGAAGTAAAAAACAAAAGGGAAAGTCTCATATTTACAAAAATTTTTACTGTAATATTTTTTGTAGTAACAACACTATGGAAGGAAAGTGGGTGTCTACCAACTGGGTAATGGTTGAACAAACTGACACATTGATATAATCAATTATTCAACAAGCAATTATTAAGTGCCTACACGGTATCTGATATATAAAGACAGAAGTAAAAGTTTCCACCCTTAAGGAACTTAAATTAGATAAGAGAAAATGACACTTACCCACATATAATAGATCACAGATAGGGACAGGGACCAGAGCTATGATTTCAGAGGTATAGAAAACTCCCTGTAACAAAGGCTGGCTTTGGTAGCTTCTAGTCTTAGAGAGTGGCCTGAGGCACTGAGATGCAGAGGCTGGCTTTTTGACAGAAACAATAATGAAGTATTAGCCTACAGATGTGGAGCCAAGAGAGCAGAGGGAGAGGAAGCAATGCAATGAACTTCTCTGCACAAGTTCTGCTTAACAGACTTAGAAAATGCACTCAACTGAATCTTGCTGGAGAAATTCAGAAAAAGTCACATTGAGTCCTTCATCCAAATCAGCTCAGCACAGGGAGACAGACAAGAAGACCTGCAGACACTGGTGACAAAGAAAGGCTATCCATCAGGGCAATAAGAGGTCTTAGACCCACACCTGGCACTGCAACAGGGACAGGTGCCAACTGGCAGCTTTGCTGCCCACTCACCAGTCCCAGGTTGTAGATCCAGAGCAGAGTAAGAAGGGGAGCTGCCCATCAGCAGTGGTGTTCCCAGGAAGGGAGGCAGGATATGGAGAAAGGAGGAAAGTTCTGAAGACAGAAGCCAGTAGCAGCAATGGTGAGGATCAGACCCACAGCAGAGCAAGGTCTCACTTCCAACATCTAGCCCCCAGGGCGGGAATCCCAGGCCAAAAGGAAGCCTACAATTCTGCCAATATGAGCCAGTAGAGTTTCCAGACAGCTGATATAGGCAAAATCCAGCAGCATCTACTCTTGCTCAGACCAAATCCAGGTCAGGAACTTGCAGAGCTCAGACCAGACCAGGGGCAGCAATCAGACTTTGCCCTAGATCAGACCACTTCAGGAACACTGAAAGCCTGCAAGTGTCCAGGCTGTCCCTGAGATCCTGGAATAACACAATACTCAATACTCCAAGAAAGCAGCAATAAGACCAGGACAGACCCTTCTTCCAGAGATGTGGCAGGGCCCAATCTTAACATCACGTCCTTGGAAGAACATAGAAAAAAGGACCCCCTCAAAAAATTATTATGGCGATTGGGACAGTCAAGACACAAACACAAAAGAAAGTGAGTCCAAAACTGCCACAAGTACTACTACCTCAGAGAAAACATAGCTTACAAGCTCAACTAAAATACCTGGAAGAGCTGATGCAAGAGTTTAAAAAAAAAAAGTAAAAAAAGGTTTTTATAAATAGAATGAGAGTGCTTAAGGAAAAAACTGGAAAATAAATGAGAGCTATGGGGAAAGAATTGGAAAGGGAATTAACAGCTTGGCACAAGAAGTATAAGGCCTGCCCAAGCAGCAAATTCTCTAAAAATTAGAATAGACCAAATAGAAACCAATGACTCAATGAGGCAACAAGAAATAGTAAAACAAAGTCAAAAGGCTGAAAAAAAAAATTAAAGAAAGAAAAGAAAATGTAAGGTATCTCATAGCAAAAACAAGTGACCCAGAAGAGGTAGTGGATCATAGGTGCAGATGAAGCATACTGGGTCCAAAAGGGTCAGCATGTTGATTGTTTTGCCTAACTTTTAGAAGGGAAGGATCATTGGGTACTAATAGAGAGAAGGAAAAGAGCATCAATAAAGCATTTTGAGAAAATTAAAAAATAAAGAAACCAAGGGCAAGAGAGGGTAAGGAAGTCACCAAAGTGGCAGAGCTGAGACCGAATGCAGGCCTCTGGCCCACACAGCCTTGAGCCTAGGCAGCATGCAGATTTATTGCCTCCAAAGACCTCTTTGATCCTATCACTGAAACATCCAAAAGCCTTCAACAGTGTGTGTGTGTGTGTGTGTGTGTGTGTGTGTGTGTGTGTTTGTGTGTGTGTGGTCCCTCTGCCTCCGAGACCCCCCTCCCACTCTCTTACAAGACAAAGTCTTACACCCCAGCCAGGTACTCAACACCCTCTGTCATCTACTTTCACTCAAAGCTCCCACTACTCCTCCACACAAGCACAATGATCTCAACGTTGGAAAGCTATCTCACCAAGCCAACTCTCATCTGAAAAACAGGATTCTACGTGCCCTTCCTCTGACTCCCTGCAAAGTTGCTTTCTAAAATCTAGGGCGCCATGTCACACTTCTCCTGGATTTCCCCTCCTCATTCTCTATAACAAACTCTAGGAGGGGGCAGTCACTTCCCCTCAAAGTCCTCATCATTTCCACTCCAGGACTCAGTTCTAGTCAAATAGTCTCTTCATGTGTGAGAAAGCTAGAAGGCCCGTTTAGTTGGACCACCAAGTTCATGAGAGGGAGAGGCTGGAAAGATAGGCTGGAGCCAAGTTATAAAGAACAGTCTGCTTCTGATCCAAGAATAGGGAACCACTGGAGTGTTGTGAGCAGGTTAAGTGACATGGTCAGATAGGTGCTTTAACAAAATACTTTGGCAACTATGTGGAAGATGACTGGAGGGGCTAAGACTTGAATCACGTCGGTGATTATAAATAGTCACAAACTGAGGCAAGGAGGGCCTGAACCAGAATGGAAGCCAAGTGAGTAGAGAAGAAGACAGGATGTGAGAGAGAGGGAGACTGAATCAGAACCAATAAGAGTTTGCAACTGACTAGACACATGGGGTAAGGGAGCATGAGGAACCACAGATGACTATGACATAAAGGAAAGGGGCTCAGTTGTACCAGATCTTAACCCGTATTACAAGTGGTAATCATCAACACAATCCGATACTGGCTGAGAAACAGAGTGGTAGACCAGTGCAATAGATTAGATACACAATATACAGCAGTAAATGACCATAGGAAATCTAGTGTTTGATAAACCTAAAGATCTAAGCTTTGGGGACAAGAACTCACTATCTCACAAAAATTGCTGGGAAAACTGGAAAGCAATTTGGCAGAAACTAGGTATAGACCAACATCACACACTGTATACCAAGATAAGCTCATGGGTACATTATGTAAACATATAAGGTGATATCATAAGCAAATCAGAGGAGCATGGAAAATTTTACCTGTCAGATCTACGGATAAAGGAAGAATTTATGACCAAATAAGAGATAGAGAATATTACAGGACGTAGAATGGATAATTTTTATTACATTAAATTTAGAAGTTTTTGCACAAATAAACCAATGCAGCGAAGATTAGAAGGAAAGTAGGTAACTGGGAAAAATTGTGAAGTTCAGAAAATGATCAAGAGTGGGAAGGAGGAGAAGGAAAAAGAGAGAATGAATTGTTTTGGACACACTTAACTTGGGATGTCTACAGAAGGGACATCCCGTTCAAAGTGTGCAGTGAGCAACTGGTGATGCTGGAAATCAGTAGGAACCTAGGAATAGGGAGCTGGACCTGGGAGTCTTCCTCATAAAGATGACAGAGCTGGGGGAGCTGGAGAAAGTATCAAAGGAAAAGAAATTAAGTGAGAAGAGGGTGCATAGCCAAGCCATGAGGGATGACTACAGTTAGGGAGCAGGACATGGAAGATGCTCCTGCCAGTCCAGCCAGACAGGTAAGAAGAATATAAAAGCAGAGCAGAGTCACCAAAATTCAGAAAGGACATAGTATCCAGATGGAGAGAGTGATCACCAGCAGTGTCAAAGCCTTCAGAGAGGCCAAGAAGGTGAAAGACTGAGAAAAAGCCACAAGCATTGTTAATTAAGAGGTCATTAGTGACTTTGGGGAGAGAACTTTCAATCCGGTGAAGAGTTAACAAACATTTGTTAAGCACCTACTAATGCCCAGAACCATGCTAGGGCTACGGATATGAAAACAGAAGGGCAGCCCTTGCCCTAGAAGAGCTTCCAATGTAATGGGAGAAAACAACCCACAAAAAGAAAGCTGGAGGGGGGAAGAGTTACCAGACCTGAGGACATGGTGGAGATGGAGGAGTGCAGCCAGGTGGGAGAGGTGCAGATAGATGCCTGAGTTCAGCTCTTAATGGAAATCTGGAATTCATGGTCCCACCCCCCAATCAGAGAGGGTGATGAGATGGCTGTACACCAAGGCTGATAGGATCTTACAGGATGATATTACCCCAATAACAATCTTCCTGGGGCCTGGGGAAGAAGTCAGTTAGAGAAGTCCCCAAGTAGTGCAGCCAGGAGAGAAATGATGAAATAAGAGCTTTCTGCAAACCAACACAGTGATTAGGTGCTGCAAAGATTGCTATTCCCATTTTAGAGATGAGGAAGTGGAGGCTCAGAAAGGTTAAGGGATGCATCCCTGGTCTTCTAACCTTGGCTGCTCCCCAATGAATATAGTACATTTCCTGCTACACTTCCAATTTGTTTAA